AGAGAGTTCACTGAACTAGTAGTGGAGTTTATCAACAGCGCAATGCCATTGTAGCGCTGCTTTTAAAAGAAAAGTTGTGCTAGCTGCGGAGTCGTCCTCGAACATTCAAGCGGGGCGGGACTTCGGGATAGATCAAAAGAAATGTCCGTCGTTAGAAGGGCCAACGAGAGAAGATGTTTGCGTGCACCGCAAGAAGGATGGCACTCACTGGACCACGGAAAGGCTTTCACTACAATATGGAGACTGTATTGGCCGATTTAGTTCTGGTGCAGCGAGCAGCTGCCCTTCGAGTAACGATGAAAAAAAAACGAGGGAGCTTTCCTGAGAGCGAGGCTTATCGCCGAAAGACTTCAAAGGCAGCGGAGGCTGGCTGCAAAAATTTATGAAGCGTTTCAGCTTTAGCCTCCATCTTCACACCTCAATCGCCCAGAAATTACCCGCTGATTTCAAAGAGAAATTAATTGACTTTTGACGTTTCGTGCTGTGAAAGAGGGAAGCCAGAGCCTATCCACTCAACCAAATTGGCAATGCAGAGGTTTTTTTTTTAGTGGCGTACACCGCCAATAAAAAATGTGCTAGAGAAATGAAAGTGCGCTCTGCGGGATATGAGAAGCAGGGTGCGACTGTGATGCTGTGCTGCACACTTGACAGACACAAGCTCCCTCCTTACATTATATTTAAAAGGAAGACACTGCCCACCGAAGAAGTCTGTAATGTCATTGTGCGGGCCAACAGGTGGGTGACCAGCGCCATTGTTGAAGAATGAATAAGGCTTGTATGGCGGCGGTGTTCAGGCGCCTTTTTATGCAATAATTTGCTCCTTGTGCTCGACTACTACCGCGGGCAATTGACCAAGCGTGAAGGCTGTGCTTGCCGAGGCGAACACCGACATTGCGGTTATACCGGATGGGATGACGGGCCAGTTGCAGCCACTTGATGTCTGCATCAACAAGCCATTTAAGGATCACCAGCGGGGGTTTTGCACGGACTGGTTGAATGAAGAGAACCACTAGCTGACAACAATGGGTTGTCATCAAACGGGCATAATTGTTGCAGGTGGCGGGCTAGGTACCTGCAGCATGGGGCGACATCCCAGAAACTTTGATAGGGTGCTCCTTCCAAGAAATGTGGCATATCAACTGTGCTTGACGGTACTGAGAATGATGCACTGTTTGAAGACGATAGTGACAAAGAAGTCAGCGATAAGGCCAGCAGCGACGACTTCGAATGAGCACAGCATCTTCATGTTCCATAAATGTTTTTTTTTTTTTTGGTTGCTGTGTTCACCATTTAGTTCAGCCTACATTCAAGGTTTTTTTTCCCCCAGGCTTCAGACTTTTTGGGCTCGACTTAAAATTGGGGCCGGCCTAGATTCGAGTAAACACGGTAACCTTTGCCAGTTAATTTGAACTTTGCTGGTAATTTTACATGCACCCAATGCCAACTGCACCTGCTATGATGATTCCAATGGCAACATCTCACTTCACAGAGCTCAAGATACAGCGATGTGTCAAGTACCTGCCACCTTCCACCAAAATCGCATGTTTTCAACTTGACGCAGAAATATTTTAACGTAACAATGGTAGCACATGTGAGTTATTAAGCACTTACCTAATTCTAATGTGTCATCTCTTCATCAGTCTTTGTCTATATATTTGCACTGATTTTACATCCGAGCTAATTTTAATGTATGCTTTTTTATACTTTTTCAAGAAATTTCGTCCCTAGACTTCCCAGGCAGTCCAATCCAATGCAAAAACACAATAAAAATAACATTCAACCACCCAAAAACAGCCTCGTCAGTGTCATTGCGGCTGACATCTTTGATGACACAGACAACCGTGTATGGCGAGTTTGTGCAGCACAACGATCCTACACTGTCAATGCAGCCTTCAATTTAATACAGGTGAACTTTTAACGGATTATTGTATTTATTCTACCAGCAGCAACAAGCAATGTCATGTTCCCTCGACACTCAGGACCATTACATGTGTCACAACATGAACTAATGAACTGATTAGTCTGGCATTGGTCACTACCCTTCTGCAATTATTGATGAGTTGTCAGATAAACAAAAAAAATAAACACGCTACAGAACATATAGGCGACAACATTTACTCTCCACGGTGGTGAAGGGCTGCATATGAATGATGATGATGGACATTAATAAAATAAAAGTTTCATCGTGTGAAGATTATGTTCACTCGCTTTGTCATTTTCTTTTTTTGCCATAACTGAAGATATGCCATTGCAGCTAAAAAGTCTGGTTCAATTTCGATTTCTATGGAGGGTATAACTATCATTTAAAGCGCACGAAAAAAACAGACATAAAGAGAGGACAAGCGCTTTCTCGCAACTAAACTGTTTATTAGAAAGGGCGGAATATATATACAGGCAACTGAAAAACACGACTCATGCCTGTGCAGGCAAAAAAGTATATCAGTGGCACATCAAGAACACATGGTAAAAGAAAAGAGATTATCTCGGAACATACTCAAGAAAAACAAACTCTTTATCGTGCAGCAAAACTGAAGGCTGGCTGACGCATTGTTCTATGGAGGCTTACGAATGTTACTTTAGAACTAATTTCCTATTTTTGACTAATAAAATGCACGTGTGTTCTCAACTCAGAGTAGCGTTACAACTGTACATTTATTGCCCAATTCCGATTTGTTCTTTTCTCCACTTGTTCTTGTTTGACCCTTGGGATAATTTCACAAATTTTGTCAGTCTCTTCCGAACCAAATTAAGGGAAGTGATTTGTAAATAGCAACTATTCTACTGCTATTCAGTCAAACCCCACATATTGATAGTTGGTTTACCGTTCCAAAACCACCATATATTTATGACATGCCGTAGTGGAGGGCTCCGGAAATTTCGACCACCTGGTGTTTTTTAACGTGCATCCAAATCTGAGCACACGGGCCTACAGCATTTTCGCTTTCATTGAAAATGCCGCCGCTGCAGCCGGGATTCGATCCCACGACCTGCGGGTCAGCAGCCGAGTACATTAGCCAATAGACCACCACGACACGGCTATTCTACTGCTGTCCTTGTGTGTTCTAATAATAATAATTGTTGGGTTTAGTGTCCCAAAACCACCACATGATTAGGAGAGACGGCGTAGTGGAGGGCTCCAGAAATTTTGACCACCTGGGGTTCTTTAACGTGCTACCAAATCCAAGCACATGGGTCTCAAGCATTTACGTCTCCATCAAAAACACGGCTGCCACCAACGTTACTAGATTCTTCTTCAGTTTGCCAGCTCTGCTGGGACGAGACGGCGAAACGCGACCTTTTTCGCTTCCCACTCCCTAGGTGGCGCTTCCAATGCCATTTGACCGGTCACCACGACGTAATGGATCCTATGCACAGTGTTAAACGAAGTTCTTGCCATTAATTTGGCCTTGCGGGAGTTATTTCCTGGATAGTGCACTAAGGTTATTACGAGTGGGCAATTAAAGCACCAGTTGTGCGGCTAATGCGGTGCCACGTGGTGGAGATGCGAGTGCGATGCCTGAATCTTGCGGGCATTGTGTTAATTTAGCCGTATGGCGTTCTTGTTCTTTAAAATTCAACTGTATATATTAAAGAACCGTTGCAGTGGGCTTAAGGGTAAATGCTGGAGGACTATACACCCGAATTCAGGTGCATGTTAGAGAAACCACAGGTGGCCAAATTTTTCAAAGCTGTTCAACACGACGTGCATCGTAATTGTATAACCTTAGTTATTGTTATATGATGAGGCACACACCACATTCATCTGATGCCGCCAGAAATATTGGAAGTGTAAAGCCTAGAACAACTTGTTCGTCCCAGATAACTGAAATTTACATTCCGAACGTTTTTCTTTTTTTCTCAAGGAAAGATAGCACACAATTCAATAAATGCATGTCCTTTATAAGGCTATAAAATGCAAAATACAATGAGCTCAGCAAAGTCTTATTCAACACAATTTATTGAACGCTACAATAAACAAACTGGAAGTCATTTTTGTTCACATGGTATCAAAACTACTTCAACACGTGGTATCAAAACTACTTCACCGTGAACATTGTGCACGTAGTCCTTCAAGATATAGTCCTCCTGGAAGTAGAGGTCGCACACAGCGCAAGATCTTGATAGTTCCTTATCCAATCTCGGTATTGCTCGTTGCCACTGTTGAAGACCCACTTCATCAACGGGTGGCTTGAAAAAATGCCTTTTTTCGGTTGCAGATTTTGTTGAGTTGTAGCCGCTTCAGCAACCAGTGACAAAGCAACGAGGCATATTTTATAACATCGAAAAACCGTCACACAACGCTTGAGAGCAATGCAGCTAACAACCGGCACGATAACACAACAGAGCTGACAGCAAGTGAGACACAACATCAATTGTCTCTATGATATCGCAGTAAGCAGCAGTGGGAGCACAAACTGCGTAAGTGTCGTCGATCTCGCTGAGACACACAATGATAGCGATTGCCACGGAACACACTTGCACTATACTTGCACGCTACGAAGAAGCACCTGCTATTTTGCTTTGCCGGCGTGGTCGGTGGCGTGCGCCTAACCGCTGTGAGCCTCGTCAGACCGACCAAAAACGACGAGCGCACCGCTTCGTGGTGGTTCATAGAAGGGTGACACCTGCGGTGGCGCAATTTGCAAACTGAAAGAAGAATCTGGTAACGTTGGCTGCCACAGCCAGGATTCGATCTCGCAACCTGCGGGTCAGCAGCAGAGTGCTTTAGCCACTAGACAACTGTGGCGGGTCGCTTTGTGTTCTGACAGTTGCCAGTTTTTCGAAATACAAACCAGAGCAAAGAATTACATCTTTGTCTCAAAATTGCAAGACAAAAGGCAATGTGGAAGATGGTAACGCATTCATGTGGATATATGGGTCACTCATTTTTCTCAATTACACAAGTTTTATCTCCGAAAGAAGATCAACAGCAAAGTATGGAGTCTTAGGAAAAGGCATTCACAACTTTAGGTAATGCCATCAACCCAATTGGTACGCACCTTAACCAGGACATCAACAAAGTGCACCAGAGCGGCAAGTTCAGTTTGATTGAGATGTTCATGGCCAGCCACTTCTTGGCGCAAGGAGTAGACCAGTGCATTATTTAGGTCAGCCAGGTACACCCTGTGAATTGCCATGACAACAAACACATGAGCATACAGACCTTGCTCATACACTTCAAAAGCATACAAAAGTACTAGAAGGTAAACTTTTTTTTATTCCTTGTTTTAAAGAACTTCCCTTCAAAGATTTTAGCATCTGTGTAGGAAGCAGCAGTGGTAAGAAAGTACATGAATACAGCTTCTTTTCGGATTGTCCATTACCTTAATATATTGAGCACAATAAACAAGACTACCTTTATTTTGTCATTTACAGGCTTCTAGACACTAGAGCATTAGGTCACAAAGTTGAGATGATTTGGCACAGCACCGACAACTAAATTATTATAAAGAAGTAGGCGAGGCATCTCTTGAGAAAGGTAGCAGTAAGACACATTCGCTATATTCTAGACTGAGTAGATAAAACTGAATGTAAAATTTGTCATGCCTTTAAACCAATTTTTAAATGTGTGTAATGCTTCCCTGGAGCTGTTAGCACTTTGCCTTCCACAAATTCGCAAGGCACCATGCAAATGATATGAAAAACACTAGAAAAAGAACTTCAAGATATAGCAGATCCTTATCCAAGATAACTATTAGTATCACAGGATAATATCTGCATAGCAAACATGAAATAATTGTGGAATGTCCTTCTCTATTACTCCACTGTCAAGACAGTCTTTGTGGGGTAAGAGAGAAGACTGCAAGAAATGAGAAGTGAGAAAATTCTGGGTGTGCGAATATCAGATACTAGCAGCTTTCTACTTGAATACAAAATAAAACTAAAAAAAGGCCAAATATCAAATTTAATGCCAATATAAAAAATTTTATCTTTACAGGCCTCAATAAATTACTGTTGTGGAGTATGTTCACAGGTGTTATTTTCGGCATTTGTTTGTTTGCTTCAGAGCAAAAATATTAGCTTTCTTTGAATCTAGTTGAGCAGCACTGCTGTGAATTAGTTAGAATAATCAAATTATTGAGCTGCTAACATGTAGAACCTTGTTACACCTACCGTAAACATACTAATGGTTGAAACATAGTTGCAGCAGATCCCCAAAAAAGCCTCATGGAGCCATTTGATGAATGCTTAAGCAATAGTAGCTCATCCTATGCAGACCAGTTAGCGGGAATTGTGATCACTTTTTCTGGCAGAATAGTTGGCTGGGCTTCTGCACTCTCTGTGCCACCAAATCCTGAATGTGATGCAAGAGAACTTACATGTTTTAAGTAACTACAGAGTGCAGTTGACCAATGATTCTGACTTTGACACTGTTGTGGCAATTCTTTTGCAAGTGTGCATTGAAAAAAAAAAAAAAAACTAAGGAAAGATGGCAGCCATTGATAATTGCATCAGTATGATATATCGCCAGCCACCCTATTACGATAAGTATCTTTGGCGACCTTCTAGGTTGCACATATGGTGTAGCACTGTTATAAGTGCACTGTACGCTTTTGACAGTTGACAGTCTAAGTGCTCCGCTGGCCCTGTGCTGCCATTTGATGCATGCATCCTCTTGAAGGACCGCTTTGAAGTGCGCAGCACTTTGTGGAAACCAAGAAGCTCGCTATAACAGAGTTGGCTCAAAAGAATACTCGTCACAATCGTGTACAGTTTGGCACAGCTCAGACACTGACAAACCTCACCTCCTCACTGAAGTGACACTCCCATGGCATATGTGCGTAGCACGGTTCTAAGCTTACTGCATGATTTTAATAGGCCACTAACAACGCACTGTGTCATTCATTGCTGCCTCCTCGTGTAAGACCACTAGTGCGTTGCAGGCACGCCGACTGCATGTCACTGGCAGGAAGCTCACCAGCACCACACTGACCCAACAGTAAGCTACTTGCTGCGCCCATGCACTGTTAAGAATGTAGTGGGTAAGATGAACACTGCCATGTGCAGCAAGCACGTGTATACAGTGCATGCAGCAAGCACATGAGTTGAGGTGATGACATGCTGGGATGATCGGCTTCATGTTGAAGCAAGTACCATGTTTCAATAGAACGGCACCAGTATTCGATCACAAGGAGACCGCAGCACAGATGTGTACAAATGTAGTGGAAAAAGCTGATCGGTGTGTTCATTCGCTCTGTCAGTTGTTGTGGGATCAGGACTCTAAATAAGTTTTAAAATGCTTTTCTGCATTGCCACCATGCGCTATTAGACATTCGTGTGAAACGGGCAGAATATTTTTAGCACATTGATAAAAAAAAAGGAAAGGTCTTACAATGGGTACCTTATGCAAAATTTTTATTGGTATCGCAATTTTTTTTTGTTGGTAGCCGTGGCATGTGTGTCAGCAGATGCAAATCCATACTTGATGGTTAATGCGTACTAATGTTTTGCATGTAGTGATACTGCACTCCGATCAGCTATGAATTAACAAGGTTTCACTATTCAAAAAATTGAATAGTACCTAGATGTCAATTCAGGATGTGAAGTACAGTTGAGCCCACATATAATGACCCCACTTAAAACGAACAATATCTGTGTTACTATGAGAATATACATTATTTCAATAGCACAAATTGCACTTACAATGAATGTATCTGAGTGCTGTCGTTTGGTTACAGCTAACGGAGCCGGCACTTTGGTGACTTCCCCGGACCCCGTTTTCGACTGCCGATACGCCATCAACGAAGTGCCCATAGATTTTTATTGTTAAACACTGACCCTGCCTCGGCAGCCCTCTAGTTGTTGCTCTCTCCGAGTGATTTTTGTTGTTAACCACCCCTTCGTCCTTTGTACCCCCGCTACTCTGAGCACCCTGCATCCCTAGATGAGGTGTGTGTTTTCCCAATTCGAATCGCCTGACTGGTCTGCCTTTAGTTTTTGATCACTTGCAGAAATTAGACGCTTTCTTCTTCTAACCACTACCACCACCACACTATTGTTGGTGCCGCCGATCTAGAGTGACCAGACTTTCTGCCAGCATCATTGGTCGCTTACTGTACCCGATCGTCTGTGTCTTGCCTAGATCCGTGTTGTATTGCTCCAGTGCACGTGCTTGCACTACCCCACTGACTTTGATTATTCGCGATTCATTCCGTGTTTAGGACCTGTTCTCGTTCACTTCGGACTTCGGATTCCGCTTAGCATGCACTTTGCACGCATGCGGAAGCATAAAAAACTGCTGTTTTACAGAACAAATTGCGAATTGTCGAAGTCAGCAGGGCTGCGCAAGCCAACCGGCACCACAATGCATTTTTTTTACCCCAGCGCGCACGGACCTCTCTCCCAAGTTTCCCTACGTGTGAATTGCTGTAGACCTTTCAAGCAAGCTACTTGACCTACGTTTCATCACGTGTTTTCGTTTTTCAAGGTTGTCTTCCATCTGTATGCTTCTCTCTTTTAACTCTCTTTGCCCATTTCCACCGCTCCGCGACACCAGCCATGCTGGCGAAGTTGCTTTGTCTCACTAGAAACATGCCCAGAGCAGTACCGCACGTCCTGGATTGTATGTGGCGCTTGCACGTCTTGCTCGCTATTGCTGTGCATGTGTGTTCAGCGTAGCAGACGGGAGGCCTTCTGCGCTCTCTTAAAAATGTGTTGGGCATTTTCCTGCCACTCAACCAAACGAAAGTGCGACCGCGTGTTTAGGACTTGACTGCCTGGCATCCAACTTGCCACTTCAAGTGTCCCTGTATTCAGCTGTGGAGAAGGTGGAGGCTTCGTTATCTTTTTTTGCTAATTACCTAATGCTAACGACAGCAGAACTTAGCAGAACGTGCCACTTCCATTTCTGACTGGATGCTTTCATACTGCTAAATGTTTCATGAACGTGTCAAGAGGGATTTCAACTACGACTGAAAGAATACCGTGGGCAAAACAAACGAAGGACTGGAATTATTGACTTGCAACTCCTTTGCATCAACTTCATCACAATGCATCAACTTCATCACAAAAAATAAAAGTAACCTCCACATGAGCATGAATCTTACTTTCTATTTCAATTTTAGAGGAATTCAGCACTATGATAGAGCAGAAGTCATCAAGTGAAGCACTAGACCACTAAAGCCGAGGCCTCTGACAGAGCTGGACCACACCACAAGTTTCCAAGGCTTCAAGTAGCTGAACTATTATTGCAATAGCAATTATATGGACACTCTCGGCTGGATTTTGCCGCCGGCGTCAACGTCACTCACCGCCTTAGTATACGTATCTACATATATGAACGTATCTATATAGATGAAAATGCAAAAAAAAAATAATAATGCAGAAAAAGACTTCGGTGCCCGGAACCGAACTTGGGACCTCTGAAACGTGATGTGAGGCGTTAACCATTGAGCCATGGAGAGGCACGTCCTTCAATGTTCAAACAGCAAGCTATTTATATTTACCACTTACAGCTGTTGACGGCATCTCAGGGAAGAACTATCGTGTTTTCGGCATTACCAGTAAGATGGCACAATGAGTGCACATCGCCACATTGTCACGGCTTGGCAGCAAGCGCTCTCATCTCCCGCGCGTACTTTCCCGCGTGGAGAGGATGAGGGTGGACGCGTGCTCGTGCGCCCTTATCTCGTGGTGGGGAGGATCGTACGTCTTGGCTGGCCTTGGAATTTCACAGTAACAATTCTGTTCCAGTTACCGGGAGCAAAAAGGTCACTGCAATCGTTGCACAGTCTACGTTTGCGAAAAGGGCGCACTTTTCAGACACAGTGAAGTAACAACTGCAATGCTTATTCCCGTTCATCTGTACTTATGAGTACGTTTCACGCATCATTTGTGCGTGAGAAACGCGAGGCACGTTTCGATCTGCTTGCCATTCTGCACACGAACTTCCAATTTGTCGCTATTGTGTTCATTGCTTCACCTTTGTAGCAAAGCTGTGACATTTTACTGAAGTTTTTCAATGTAACTACAGGTTTTTCCACTCAGTTTATTCGAAGTGCCAGCTTAAATAATTCACATGCCATTGAAGTAATCTGAGGGGCAAGCAACCACGTGCTACACATTTAATCTAAGTGCCAACTCAATCAGGCCATTTGCCAGTGAGTTTATTCCAAGTGCCAACATGTTTAATCCAATTGCCGATGGCTTTAATTCAAGTGTCAGTCAGTTTAATCCAATGCCCAAAAAGCAGAATACGGGTTGTAAAAATGTCAGTACGATTAAAGTGTAGTTTCTATATTATAAAAGACAATTGTCGGAAGGTAGAAAAAACCATTATTTGTATTCACCGCTGGTATATTCGTGAAAAAAATTAGTGCCGCAGTTCACTTGAGCCGTGTTTTGAGTGCTTATACAGTCGAATCTCATTAATTCGAACACGCTTAATTCGAACTTCCGGTTAATCAGAACTCATGCTGAGGTCTTGTCGAAGCTATGTGTATTCCAATGGGAAAAATGCCCCGTAATTCGAACGTGCGAGCACTTGCGACGGTTAATTCAAACATACCGAGCTCCGAAAATGCTCTCAGCACCACGCCCAATCCTGCTACGGCACCTCCGACACCTCAACGCTGCGCGCGAAGGAAAAGAAAAGGCTTCAGTGGAATGTTTGCTCTCTCTTAAATGCCGATCTGCGACGCACCTGTGCCATGCTTCTCTCTTTTCCATCCCTGCCACGTAAAGACCCTTCAACTCTGGCTGACCGGCTCGCCCTCTGCCATCTCCTGACACCGTGAAGCTCTCGCTGAGTGGTATCGCGCACTTGGACTTCTTTGACTATGTCCCCATCTTTTTCTATTTTATCTTTACTTCTCATTCCATCCGTTTTAATTCCTCCTTATCCCTTTCCCTCGTCAGCCACTGTTGAAGTGTCGCACATAGATGCATACAGTTACGGGGCTCACTTTTATCTTCTTTTCTCTTATGTAAGAATCACTCTCCCCCCCCCCCCCCTTTTTAACGCTGTGTGCAAGAGAGAGAGGAAAAAAGAAAGAAAGCTGTGGTGGAGTGGTGGCTTTCTCTCACGCGCCGGTGGCATGCTTCCCCTTTTCCCGTCCCTGCCACGTAGACCCTTCTTTCAACAACGCACGCGAAGAGAGAAAAAAAACCAAAAATCTGCCGCGGAGTGTTGGTTCTCTCTCAAATGCTGATCTGCTTTTCTCTGCGTCGAGAACGCTCCTCCTTTCTCCTCACGTGCTGGCCACGCTGCGGCTGCATAGCAGAGACGCAGTCGTTGTCGTCTTTAGAGAGTGTCGGCGCTGGACAATGCCGCGCGCAACTTATTTTGCCAGGAGAATGCTGAAGTCGAAGTAGAAATGCTTTGCAAGCTGCGGGCAAAATTGACTTGCTGCAAAACAAACGTGTGCAGGTGCGCATCACCGATTACTTCAATTAATGACGGATGTCCTGTGATTTGTGAATAAATGTAAGTCTTCTGAAACGTCCTCCTCGTATGTTAGCTCAATGCACATGCCCCCTGCATGGTGAGACTTTCGTTCATTTGGCTTTTATTAATTCGAACTTCTTTTAATTCAAACGAATTTTCGGGCCCCTTCGAGTTCAAATTATAGAGATTCGACTGTACTTTGCAATGTACAAGTTTGTAGATGAGTGCTTGGTCCAGGTGGAGTCATTTTAATGGCAACGAAAGAAAAATCAGGAACATGCTAACGAATATTTCATGTTTATCAATAAAGCTCATAATTGGATTTTTATAGCATTGCTTGACCCGGCCAGGTCATGTAATGGGAAGGGCAAAATATGGTTATAGGAGTGCCGGAATGCATACCAAGATATGGAAAACCGGGGCGTGGGCAGTGACGGGTCAAAAGCAAGTACATGCTCAAGAAATTAGGGGGCCCTCACAGGAAAGAGTGAATTAGAGATAATTCGAAGAGTTTTTTGCCCTGCAGTGCACATAGGATGTAGACTCATGATCCTAATGTGGACAATGAAAGTCATATGTTACATTCATATTAACTGTTAACTTTTTATTCAAACAATTGTGTGTATCCAATGAAATACGCAAGTTTCAAGCAAACACACTTCAGCAACACTAGCATCGTCTGTTACACGAGAACAGGAGTATCTCCTTTGATGCTTTTATAAAAAAAAACTCAATTCAACATAAACCCAACTAAATACAAGTTCAGTTTTTTAAATGGCTATTTCTGATTTCAAGAACGGATTAATATCATCTGTCGGTCATTATCGTTCTCACCGAGCTGAGCAGACGACTGCGAATGCCTCAGCGAATAAGCAGCCAAATGCCGTCTGCTGAACAGACGACATGAGTCTGCATATGCGATGGTCTAAATAAGTAGCTGGAATAATGCAGTAGCAATGAAGCATGGACTAACATGGACTCTATCAGCGAATACATTTGGTAACCATAAAAGCAATTAATACATGCTGTTTTTTTAATTTGAAACTATGACAACAAAACGTTAGGGGGAAATAACACTGCACCTCATTTCATAAGCATTAGCATGTATAGCGGAGTGAAAAGTTCTTACTGTCACTTCACGTTTACATTATTCTGACATTTAGACTGTAAAAAGTGGCAAACTATGTGTTTCTGGTGCATAGATTAAACTGACTGGCACCCGAATTAAAGCCGTTGGCAACTGGATTAAACATGGTGGCACTCTGATTAAACTCACTGGCACGCGGCCTGAGATGGCACTTGGATTAAATATGTTGGCGCTTCAACTAACTGTTTGGCACATGAATTAATTAGTTTGGTGCTCAGATTATTTAAATGGTGTGTGGCACTTGGATAAAATGAGCTGGAAAACCTGTAGATTCATAGCGAATTCTTGTGCAAAAATAACAATTTAGCAAGTGACACATTTGAATTCCACTCAATATCTCAGTCCCATTATAGTAAGCACTGTGTCAAGAAAAGTCTTACTGCAACGGAGTGCTGTGAAAAGATTAATCTCTTTAAAAACCTACTTTTTTCATTAAACACAGCGTACTATTAGTACTATGCCAACTTACTTGCTCGTATCGGCGACCTTGCTCTCCTCTGGTGATGTTGTACTGGAAATTGTTGTTGTAGTACTCACACTCATTTCTTTCATGTAAGGTTCCAAAACCGTCAGCACATGCTCTCGCGAACGACCTTCTTCTTTCACCCTGAATGTAAAAAAAGGTATGAAGCCAACATAAAGCAAGTAAATAAATAATATGGCATTATTATTTCGAAACACTAGTACTATTCTGATGTATCCTAATGAGTAATAGGCTTTAAAGCGTACATTGCTGGGTCCCTTTTATTGAGGACGGACTTGTGCACATCATACGTGTTACTGCTCTTGCCAATTACCTAACCCCATTGGGAGTCTATTACATAGCAGGGTACTATTGTAAGGCACCAGCTTATAACTCAACTTCAGGTTCAACGAAAAAAATAAAACAGACATCTACAAATGAGCATGAATTTAACTTTCTATTTCAATTTCTTGGGAATATAATGTTGTAGAAGCACTCTCTTCCACAAGACTAAACACATTTATTTTTAACAAACTGACAGCATAAATGAGACAGATGAAAATAAAGCCTTGTGAGACAATGCTTTAAGGAGGCAAGCAACTCTCATGAGACTATAATGATTTCAGAGAATTTTTCCTTTGACTGTCCACAGGCAACACATAACTCAATACCCTATAACGGTATACAAGCTAAAAACCTCTATCAGAAACTACGTCACACGTACATTAATTAATTTTTAGGGTTTGATGTGCCAAAACTACAATATGATAATAAGGCCCACCGTAGTAAAGGCTTCCAGAAACTTAAGCTATAAAGAATTCTTTAATGCATTTAGCAAGGCTAGCTGGCACTGATGGAATGCTTCCATAATACAGTAGACTCGCAATGATTCGAACTCTGATAATTCATACTTTTAGTTAATTCACTTTTAGTTAATTCAAACTAAATTTAATATTTTGGTCAGCCCTCCCTTCTTTCAATGTATTTATAAAATCTTCTTAATTCAAACTCCATCATTCAGTTAATTCATACTTTTCGCAGGTTCATACCAAAAAATATTTGCCACTTTCTCGCTACTATTTAAGAATTTGTGTGCTTATATAATCCTAACAGTCTAAAAATGAAAAGTAAGCACCTGAAGCCTTCAAAAGAAAAGGTTTTGCAAGTAAACAAATGTTTGAAATGAAGCACATGCATGGTAAACCGTGATGCTTCTCAACTGGTATAGAGAGCTTTGTGCTGGAGGCACAAACCTATAGCAATGAAGCAGTCCGCAATTCACGATTTCTTTAAAAGGTCTGATCAGCAGGAAACGGCCAATAAATTTCTGGACTTTACACCTCTGCTTTCTGTTCTTTGTGGGCAGTTAGGTCTTAAAAACGCTTGAACAATTTTTAAATGTGATAAAATCAATGTCAAATCATAATGTGTGGTGCCACCACACCCAGAGTCATCTATCTGAGAACTTCTGATGATTAAAACTTCTTGATAATTTAAACAAAAATGAGAGGTCGCTTCAAGTTTGAATTAATGAGAGTTGACTGTACAAGCAAACCTGCACAGAGACTGCAAAAAAATACACAGGACACCAGCAGTTGTCCTATGCCTTTCTGTGAAGTCCTTGTGCTCACTCTCTGATATTATGGGTAGGCTCTTTAACATGCAGTGACATCACAGAGTGCATGGTCCTCTAGTACTTCACCTTCACCAAAATGCAACAGCCATGACCAGGATCAAACACGGGCCCTTTGTGTCAGCAGCCAGGCACCATTACCATGATGCTACCGTTGGCATATTATCACACAGCCAAATCCCATTTGTGTCCATTTTTTATTAGGTGCACAGACAGTTGCTAAAGCCCCTCTATCTATGTCCATGCTTGACGTGGTTGTGGTAGATGAATAGAGGGCCTTCAATAGGGGAAAGAGAGCAGCTAACATGAAGCTGGAAAGTTTCTTGACAAGTAAAAAGAGCTCAGCTCACAACGACCAGCAATCATTCTAGACAGTCTTGACTACCTAAGCCATGCGGACATGCAGTTGCAAAAAACATAATGACATTCTGTCAACACCTGTCAGATTGTAAATGCAGGAGCATGAACAAGCAATGTCATTTATCATTATGTGAGATAGTAAAGTACGGCTGCAGTGAGGGGAGACTAAGCTTTTGTTTTAAACTTTTAAATGTGATAGCGTTGAAGCGCTCGTATCGCAGAAATTCTGTTGTCGAAATCGGCATCGGTGTCGTTGGTTGTGAGCGAAAAATCATCTTATGCATGATCGAAAACTGAGATTGATGCAAATAAAATAAATAAATGATAAAAAATCCTGGAGCAGAGTGCGGACCGAATTAGGGTTGTTTGCGTGGCAAGCAGATGTTCTACCAAACAGCCACGCCTCTGCTTGTGAGAACAGTGAAAAGAACTTCCTTTTCTCGAAAATACAGTGAAAATAGCTTTCATGCTTCACAAACACATGGGTCTTTTATACATGCTTCACAATGCAACATGACATATAACAGTAATAATGCATGGTACAAGCGTTCATTGCCAATGGGTGTCAGAATATGAGTTTATCATAATGGCTCCGTGGCTGAAAGCCGGTACCGCACTACAAAAAGCACACATGCTACTGCACCTATTCTTTCAGGGCCACGTATAGTGGGTACATAGCAAATTCGAAAAGGTTTCATGCACTTAGTGTTTGAAATACGCACTACGAACAGGATGTCGCTATTGCGTTCAACTCCTGAAGGCGAAACTTTAGAGTTCCCTAATTTTTTCACTTTTATGACAATTAGAGAGTAATATTCTGCATGTAAATTACAGCTGTATGATTTGGTCACCAAACTTTTTTATTTGTTAAGCGCGAACACAACAAGAAATTCTCTAAAGGGCCCCTGCAACACTTTTTGAGCGTGGTCAGAAAACGAAAGTTGAGGCTCCCGAGAAACTGCGAGCCAAATCTCATAACACAGTGCCCAACCTAAAATTCGCAATAAGTTCTCAAAGTCAGCTAAATACATATTGCTTGCTTTTTCTCTCTATAAATGATGATACAAGCTGAAAAATCACTCCTCACAGCCATTGCATCAGCCATTGGTAGATTTTGCCACGGTGCACTTGGTCGTTACTCAAGCCACCACAGAAGGCCGGAACTTGTCCATGCGCGCACGCGATCACACTAAAAAGTTGCATATTCGAAGGAAAAAAAAGAGAGAGAGAAAGCGCTCATGGTCACGAATCCTTTAGTGAATCCATTCCATGACTACTTCAAAAAGTGTTGCAGAGCCCCTTTAAAGCAATGCATTAATATTACAGGCTTTCCTAGCGATGTGTTAACCATGAGGTGAAATGAGCATGACCAAAATTTAGACACCTGAGTAGCCTAGTTGAGCTGCCATTACGGTGTAGGATATACAGGTCCGCCCAGTAAATGCTGGAAACACTTGTCTCCTCAGGAAACAAGGACGACAGCCAGGCTCTGTCTGAGGAGACCACTAGACGTTGCACATAAATAGAGGACTGCCTTGATGACAGATCCAAGATTACCTGCACAGTGATGGCCAACATGCTAAATATTTCTCTGTGAAATAAATCACCTCAGTTCTGTAACAATGCTCTCCCTTCTCTTCATGCCTGCCTAAACAGGCTCACAACACTAGCAGTCTCAAGTGCAGATAAACAATTTGTTAGCCTCTGCATAAAACTAACCACACAACTGCTCGGTCTCTCATAAAGGTAAATAACCATGCTCCTATTACTCTATCAGCATTAAAAATAATGAACATTCACAAGAGTTTATCACTAATAAAAAGCGACGGACTCTGACAATGTCAAGCAATATTCGAGACCTTGCAAGCGAAGAAATTATATAACTACAGCAATTTAGCCCCACAGTGTCTTCTTTGTAATGCACGCAGCATGACTAGAACCAAAGCTAATAAGTCTTATGTTACCATGAGAGTTCTAGTCATTCTGAACTCCTTTATAGAAATTTGTCCCCCATTTCAACTTGTATACTAGCATATATTCTAGCATGCAATCATACTCTGTAACCACCAGCGGGTACTTCAGTGAACTATGCTAGACTTTGCACACGTGGCAACCAGAAAATTTACCTTAGAAGCAGCACTCAGTTTGCAAAGCAGGATGCCACCTTATCGGATACTACAGTTCTCCTCAGTTTTATCTCCCATAATTTGCTTCGCACATTAGGGCTACAGCTTCTTTATTATTCCTCTGGCATTTCTTTCTTGCATGGCATAAAGCTGTAAACGGATTTCATACTGTATCCAAAAACACGAAAGCCCTGAACGTCAAACAATGAGCAGAAGAGCAGTGTTCCTGACCCTCGCTGGCTAGGCAAGCTCATGCATGTATGCCTGGCAAAAAAAAAAAAAAAAATCAAATTGCAAAACATTCTGACTTCCGGAAATAATGTACTATTGAGAACAGAAGCATTCATGACATGAGATTCGCAATAAAGCTGGATTCTCACATAGCCTGCGAACATAGCCACTAATTAAGAGCTTCCACCTGTAGTACATACTGATAATTAAATTATCTCACAAATTCATAAGAACTTGAGTCTGGCCTAAGTGGGTTTACTAATTGACATCTTGACCTCTAACAAAAGACAGGGACTGTGAAAGGCACAACAACATCGTCCGTAACAGTGTTGCTATTTTTTCTTTTGTTTACCACACGTCATTCCTTTCACTGTCCTTGTCTTTTGTTGGCAGTCTAGGGGTCAATCTTAGAGCAGAACTTAGTCTTTTGTGCAGCCTGTGTCCTGAAGACTTTTATCCTCAGGAGCACAGATGCAGACAATATTACTGATATCACCACCGGCAAGCCCTTAACCTCTCCACACACAAAGCCAGGATTTAACATGCTTATACCCCTGTCACACGGCCACCACCGAACTCTGTTAGACTCCGTCAACGGAAATCTCCGCAAGGTAGTTCGACGGAGATGAAGTTGTATCAGTGTCACATGGCAATGATAAGGTTGCAATAGTTGCCGCGAGGGGGCACAGCCAGCACTGTTTGAGTTTCACAGAAGTATCCCAATTTCATCTCTGAGTGCTTTTTTGTGGATCTTCGTTTTACGAAAACACAATTTTTACAAAACGCAATATTAAGTACGCTTGAAAGCAACAAAGCATTAAAAATTATTTCAAATGGAAACACATTCACGATTTGTAGCAATGCTGGCCACCTTGTGCCTAACACTATGTTTGTTTACAATTGCCCTGTGTTCGGCGACTGGTTTTGTAGCCCGTGTACCAAAGTCCTTCTTTCCTTCCCTCGCGAGCGCATGCCAAATTACCCTTGAATTAGGTTTAGTCCCATTACCCATTCCTGCTGTCGTCAAAGCAGGTGACAATGATGCAGCGCTGTCAGTCATTCCTCTCCCGGGCACACGCAAACACGGCGACTACAAGAACCGCACGCATGGACAATGCCCTTCACACCGCGCCAAAGAAACACACGTTATGAATGAGTACTGCAACAAAAGAACGTTTAATATTGCCAAAATGTATCTATTGTTGTCACTGTGGCAATTCAGTGCTTGAATTTTTTTTTCTGACCTGCCGATACTGGGAACGCGAGTACCTCATTCCGCTGCAAAAAGAGATCGTCGAACGTCCTTTGCGAAATGCTGCGTTTACCTTCGTTTGCATAAGGGTTGCCGTGTGACACGGACCGCATCTCCCTTGTCGTAAGGACGAAGGAGCTAAACGGTGTTTGCGGGTGCCCGTGTGACAGCGGTATCAATCTGTAGCACAGTATTAATCTGTGGCACGGTGTCTGTGGCACGGTGTCTGTGCCACGGTGTCTGTGCCATGCTGCTGCAGGAATCAGGTTAAATTTTAGCGACAGAAAGCTGCACACTCCATACAAACTACATCTACCTGACACCAACTAGTGCAACTTTTAATGCATATGTGTAGGTGTTTTTTCTTTTAATCTCATTTGTCAAGTTATCAGAAAATACAACTGAGCATTTCTATGCAAACTCACAAGACATATCATCTGTAATGAAATGGCTCACCTCTTTTCCAACATATGAAGTGTTAAGTTCCACAACAAGAATTTGGACGTCTATATTTGCTGGTACGTGCGCCCATAGCCCTTCCGTAGTTTTTTCCCTGAAATGCATAAGAAGTGTTGATAAAAAGGAGCATTTCAACGTTCAACATTCTTGAAATATCTCAAAGTATTAAATGTTTTATTACACAGAACAAAATAGCAATATTACAGCAAAACTGCGAGCTTGTTTCTAGAGCTAAGGTAGAATGCTTGCTCGACAAATTGGTACTATAGTGCTCAGTATCAGCTACACTGCATGAGCGCGTGGCCAAGTGCATGGCAAGGTTGAACAGTGGCACCTATACTGACATGTTTTCATGTTATCAGGGGAGACTCACACGGAACAGCTAAATTCTCTCCCATTAACTCAAAAATATGCCACGATCAGCGCCACTGTACAACCTTGCAGCACGCTTTTTCTTTAAATAAATTTTTTTTTCTCTTATAACATACCCTTTTTGTCCCCTAATGTCCATGCTGCAGTCATCAATAGCCTGTTCAGTCAACTTTTGTCCGGAAAGCACTCTTTAATAATTTGTTCAACTTAAATTTGAGGGCACAAAAAGTGGCATGTATTAGGAGGCAGTCACGTAAAAGCTTTAAAAAACTCGCATGCTGTAAAAAAAAGCTGAGAAACAAAATTATTCAGGAAAGTTATCTGAGAATAGTGTTTAAAGATAGGTTTCTGAGCAAGTGCAACAACTTCCAGATAGAATACTTTTTGCTAGTTATTACTGAAAAAGTTCAATAACCAATCTGTTAATTTCCTAGCTTGGCAGGCTGGAAAAGATATCCTGGCATGCTCTACATGGCTTCTAAGCAATACTGCCCCAATTCGATATGAGCCCCTACACATTTTTTTTTTAATACCTGGCGCTAGTTATGTGAAACACCCTGTAGATCTGGCAAAAAGTCACTCTACTTTTAATTAAAAGCTGTTTCAAAGAAGTGCATATTCATTGGTGCTATCAAGGAAGGAACTAATACTATAAAGCTTATATCTTAATGCCCATCTTTCATTCAACTTATACCTTAATGCCCATCTTTCATTCTATGTTGTAGCTATTCCGTGCTTGCTTTGTGCCGAAAATCAGACTTCTTTAAGAATGAGCCTACAATAACGCATGCACAAATGACATCCATTTCTTATTTGAAATGCATAATCGCGTGCAAAAGAATATCACTTTTCCTCTTTGCCTGTTCAAGTAAAGAAATGATAAGGAATATCAATATGGGAAAAAAGAATTTCATGGAGAGGCACCCCCTGAGACAGAAGTACTAACCCCTGAAAGGCACCAAGGAAAGGCCAGCCTCTAGGCCGCTCCCCTCGATAGGCATCATTGCTACCCACAAGGTCAACAGCCTGGTGTCGTAACTGTTCTGGATGGTGGTGAGTTTCTACTTCAACACCTCGATCTTGAAAAGTTGAGCGTGCTTGAAAAAACTGCAAAATGAGCCCAACAAGAGGACAGCATCGTGTTATGACAAGGGGGAAAATAAGACATGCACATACAAAGACTATCTATAGAACATTTACAAAAAACAAGTGGTACCTAAGCAAGCAATAGAGTGAACCATGATCCAGCACCTTACATGTTGCTTATGATCTCCCCTTAATCTCAAATACAGTGTCAGTGTTGCATCTCTGAAGACAGGGTATAACGTGGAAGTTCCACAACTAGAGCCCGGACTCAAAGCACCCAAAGAAGAATAAGAAGAAGAAAGCTAAAATGATGAACAGGCTGTTATGCAAGAGGTTACAGCAAAGTGAACAACATCGAAAACATCCATGCACAGGTGAACTAACAGATAAGCAAATACAATACTCATGATGAGGATGTAGAAAACAAAATGAAATACAAAAAAATAGAGTTCTCTCCAGAGTAACAACACAAACAAAGTGATTCTAGGTATGCTTCTTTCATGCTATTTTGTAGGTTTGCGCAAAAAGAGACTTTTAGATACGAATCAAATACGAATACGAATTGAATAATACAAAAATAGTTTTAAAATAGCAAAGCAACCATCTTCAAAAGCCCGAGAATCGTAATGTAAACATTTTTGAAAAAGTCCATGAATTCCACAACATTTTATTTGGAACGAATATTTACGAGCTTAAACAATCAAACGTTACTATGACTCGTAACTGACAAAAAATAATGCCACAGTTTTGCTAGCTGAACCAGGCTTGCATACAGCATGTAGAGCCTCAGTTATATTTTTAAGAAAATAGAGCAGTGAATACAGTATTTAAAGTGGCACTTGGTCAACAGTTTTCAAACTAAACTGATGCATAAATATTAAAATAATTCACGAGTCAACATGATATTGAATGTCATGATGACATGATGAAGATAGTGGATTGGTGACTCTCTCACTTAAACGACAGACGAGTCTTACGCAAAAAAAGCCTTCATTCTGTCTTTGATATAGTGTCAATAGCAGTTCCATAAAAGCTGCAAGCATTTTGGTAGTTCACTGATTAAAGCTGAAAATGTTAGCCCTGTCAGTTCTAATGTTTCGTTCCTAAGCGGTTTTTTTTCCCATCGATGGTTATTATTATAAAAAATACTAGAAAAATATTTGGTATTTCTAAAATGCACGATTCAATCTGAGTGCCAAATCAAATGAAACACTATTTGATTCAATATTTGGAATTGTGAAATATATACCAGCTATCTTGAGTAGTGTGATTCCTTAATACATTGTTTTTGTCTATGACATTTTGACACATTAAAAGGCACATTCTGCATGACAAAACTAAAGTAGAGGGAGCCTAATGTGCTCATGTTATGAAACAGGGATAGTATTGATATTGACAATTAAGAAATCGATGTGATTAAAGTGAAAATGAATTTAGAAAAAAAATTATGCCTTGTGTAAATGTGAGTGCACATGAACGTTTAGACTATATGTCACCAATTTACGTTAAAAGGTGCCCTGAAGCAACTGTCTTGGCAATCATTAAATGACATTGCTAAATAGAATACGTTGGTTCAATATCTCCTGCTTCTTTTTCCAAATTCAAGCAGAGTTGCAGGTAGCTACAGCATCCTTCAAATGGCCTTGTCTCTCCTTTAGTCCCTACAAACACTCTAGAAGTTGCAGAGGGATAGCCTGGCTGTTCTTTAGTGTTCTAAAACACTTTATTACTCGTATTAATGCAATTCCTTTCTTGAGATCAAGCCTGCCTAAGGCCAGTTAAGAAACCAGTTCGAAGCACTGGCATGGCTCTGTGGTAGAACACTGGGCTGGCACGCAGCAGATCGATGTTCGAATCCCATTGTGTCATTGGCGTTTTTAATTTACTGAGTTTTTTTTTTCCGTTCAATTCTGGTTACGGATATCGGGGGCGGAAGACAACTATGGTGCTACACGTGACCCGTGTTCTCATCTCATAACCGCTTTTGCTGTACAATAAATAGAGTAGAAACACACAGCGCATTCACACAGGCACACACCCAGGCACCAAACACGTACGGCACTTACTTCCACCAAACACGTACGGCACTTACTTCCAACTGTTTATTCATCGCATGAATGCTTTGAACATATATACATGTGGCACATGCACACATTAGCGTCAGAGAAGCCAATAGCACATACTATCAAGACATACTTTTTTTTCCTTACTCCTTCTCACAGGCAAGAGTTGATAAACTTAATTTCACCAGAAAACAAAGATATCTTTATTTCTGGAGAAATTCATTCATAGCAGATATCCAGAATTATTTTTGTTTACTATTTAAAATTATCCATACTAGTATTATTCCCCAGAATCTTCTCACAATAAGACATCAGCTAACCAGAGAAATCAGCCCTGGGTAACCTTTGAAGGCGGAGAAATAATTATGAAATGAAAAATCCATATAGATTTCCCTGTATCATTATGCTACAAACAAAGGAATGGCAATTATTCATTTCACAAGTCAACACGTTCCCTTTTAAGCACCCAAATCTATTACAGCGAAAGCTGTTATGAGATCACAACACAGTTCATGTGCGCGCTGTAGTTGTCCATCGCCGCTACCGCCGGTGTCCATAACCATTATCGCACGAAATAAGAAAAAAAACTCAGTAAACAAAAAACATTAGGGACACAATATAATTCGAACCCTGGTCCCCTGCATGCCAGACCAATATACTACCACTGAGCCACACTGGTGCTTGGAACTCCTCTGCAAACTGGCCTTAGGCAGGCTTGATCTTAGAAAAAGAATCACGGCAATACGAGTAATAAAGCGTTTTAGAACAGCAAAGGCACTATCAGGTGTCACATAATGCCAATTGCACACAGAGTGGGTCGTTGAATGCTCCAACCATTTACATAAGCTCGATCTTGTTCACACAATAACTGTTGCGCATACCCACTGTGGGGGATTCTGGGGATTACAAAAGCTTCTGCCATAATTTTCGTCGTCGTCAAGCAAAGCAAAGCAAAAACAAATTGCACAATGTTTTTTGCAAGTGTGCAAAAGGTACCATGCTTCTCCGAAGAATGATGAAGGATGGCATAGTGAATGCCTGCCTACTACACAATGATTATTGGCGTAGGGGGTACCCTGAAAGTGAGCGTGATAGTTACCTAAAGAGTGTTTAAGAAAGGCTCTAAAAGGCCACTCTTCCACCTTTCACTGTTACAATGCTGCACGTTCCACGCAGGCCTGGCGGTTTCTTTAGCATATCATACATGTGCAATGCCTTCACAAAAATTGGACCATGGTGCACTATAACTTTATTATGAAGGCTAAGTTTTCAAAACAACCGGCCAAGCTCCGGAAGAAAAAAAACACTGCAGATACAGTGCTCTAATATGCAATAGCAATAGTGAGTGAATTAACTCGTGAGTCTGTTAAGGCATATTTAACTTTTTAGATGAAGTTTCAATGATCTTTAACAGCAATATCGCATAATCAGTGCTCCATTAGGCCTCTTTTGATTATGTACATTTAAACACAAGTTATTGTGGTTACGATCCAGTAGGGCAGTTTTATTGAAATAGATGACTCAGGAGAAATTTTTATTGAGAATTCCCATGAAAAAATTGCTGGAGGAAGTCAAGGCACATCACCCGCCCATGACTTACACCTCTGTTCAATAAACATTGAGCTGGCATATGAACGCTAGTCCATTGAACTATGTGCAAGCAGATGACAGTACAAACGTGAGCCAACATAAGGCTTATAATAATGTTGAAGTTAATTAGTTGTCACCATAGGCCAGTAGGAAAATGTGGCACTCACTGAGATTCCCTCATGAAATATATTTTGCTCCTAAGACTCACTCGGACTCACAATCATAAAATTTTCCTCAAGCGGACTCATTCAGACTCAGTGAAGTTGGACTCACTCGGACTCAAACTAATCAAGCGGACTCGCTCAGACTCTCAGACTGACGGCTCGATGTGAGTATGAGTGAGTAGTGAATGAGTTGACTCATGAGTGAGTTTGCTGACCTATGCCTCTAATACAAACAGTATTACTCACTTTGATAGTAGGATAAGAACTGATGCCGTATGTGCGGCATGTCTGCATATTCTCTACACAGTCAATGACTGCAAGGCTTAATACAGGCTTCCAACCTGCAAAATGAAAGAAAAAAGATACCACATGCACAGACACACACATAAGCAGGCCACACTTACAAACTTTTTCCAAGATTCTTAGCTAGCTTTTAAATCAGAGAGCACACCAATACAATGGTGTCAGAGACCGTTTTTTTTTTTTTTTTCACAATAACAGTTACAAAGTGAGAAAAGTAAATGTAATTAGGAGAAGGAAGATGCAGCGGAGCACAGTTTGCAAATAAAAAAAAAACAGCAATTGTGGGAACACTTATAGAAGTGAGAGCATGGGAGTGAGTGCAGATAGGTGAGCTAGTTGGTATACACTCATGAATTTTTTGGAAGTGCAAGGAAACGCGACAAAGAAGAGCAAGACACAAAAGAGGCACAGTTGAGTCATGCTTTTCTTTGTCACATGTATTTGCACTTAAAAAAATTATGAATAAGGGAGGAACGGGGGGCAATGTTTTCAAAAATTCATATTACAAGGCAAAAGCCTAAACGTAGCATCCAAGCTGTAAGACATAGCAGTGATCAAAATATTAATTCTATCTACCACAGGTTTCCTAAGTATGAGTTCTTTTGCCCTCTATGCCATCAGGTGGCCAACAAACAAACTTTCAACCTTGTGCATAACAGCATAACCATTTGCTAGAAGCATTTGCACTACCTTTAGCCAACAGTTTTAAAAAAGTCAGTAGATAAATAGATTAGCATAGGCCTTGAACCATTTAATTTTCTGCAAGAATTAACCTCCTAATGCCATTGGATGTTCTGAGAAAAGTGGATCATAAATGTCAGATTGGTGACATGAATGGAGTGAGGATATGGAATAAAAATGAGCCCCGACATGTTATACAGGATAGTAAAAAAAAATTACACCATCTCCTGCTAAAGGAAACCATGTGTAGAAGCGAAGCAGTGGGCGCTAACGCTCACCACAGTGTTGCATTGGAGAGAGAACAGGGGAGGCCCAAAGCATGCAGTGATGGGCCGGTGTTTCCTACTGAAACATGCCAATTGCTGCCAATGGGCATTGAGAGACAGAAGACTCCTATTGGACACAGAGACCCGCAGTGCACTTTTAGTTAACATACATGATACGAGTTTTTACTGTTCAAAAGTGCATAGAAGAAATTTCTCACCAGCACTACCTTGGAAGTCAAGATCCAGTGTCTATATATACGGGGTGGCCAGCGAACGGTTTTGCAGTGCGAGCAGTAGGTGTTTTTAATTAAGACACTCGCTAGCAGACGGTGCCTGCGGCAGTTTTGCTAGACGAGAGTTAAGGAGAGCGTGGAAGAAGAGGGGGCACGCACAGCACAATGGGGGTGTAAATACCACGGAGAGGGATGCCTAGAGAAGAGAGAGGGGGGCACGGTGGGGGAAGCGAGTGTAGACTAGCAGATGGTGTCTGCATCGGCGTTGCAACGCGAGAGGGGCAGAGAGAGCATAGAAAAAAAAGGGAGGGGGTGCGCATGCGCACCCACTTTATATCAACACTTGAAGAAGAGGATACTGGAGAAGGAGAGTAACGTGTGAGCCACGAGAACAGAAGCAAGAATGCAGGAGAAGCGCAAGACAAAGGTAAAAGAGAAGTGGAGAGAGTAACGCGCAACTGTTGGAGAGAGGGAAGGAGGAGAGTTGCCCATGCGTAGTGTGAGTGCGGACACTGGTTTAGACAAGTGTACTTAAGTAATAATAACAATTATACTTAGGGTTTTAAGTACCAAAACTATGACATAATTAAGGCATGTGTTTTTTTCATTCCACAAATAGTTTTTTCATTCTATTCAAATAAAGTTCTTTCATTCCATTCCATTCCATTAAGGCATGCCATGGTGGAGGGCTCCAAAAATTTGGACTATGTGAGAGGCTGTAACATGCATCTAAATTCTAATATAAAGGTCTCCCATGAAATTCAACTACCGTAGCAGGGATAGCATGCACAATTCGACTTTTAGTTTAGATGCCTAGCAACATAACCATTGTGGCGGCTAGGTTGAATAAAATGCACAAAATGCTAACTTTGCAGTACTATTCAGTATACAAGAACGCTCAAAATGACGTATGGGTTACTACTTCTTGCAATAAGGTGGAGAAGACTCCAAGCCCCATAGGTAAGTGGCAAGCTTTGCACCTGAGTGTTTGGTGGCTACACCTATTGGTGGAAGAGGCTACACAAATGTTTAACACCTACATCCTGGCAAATATTCCTCCTATACAGACAGAATCCATATGGTATAATGACACAATGACTAGACTCCAGAAAAAAAATCTTATGCTAATCAGCTCTCATGTCTCATGCAGCTTAAGAAAGCTGATGACTGTGCTCACTGCCATTTACATAAATCGTATTCTTATCATTGCTAGTTCATATAGTGCCCCAATTTCGTTTACACCTGACCTTACAAGACTCTTACAACACTGAATACAAAGACATTTCTCAGGTATGTTTAGCAACGTCAGAGCATCTTGTTGTGTGCTGTGATCAATGAGACAATACTGAGGGAATATTGTAAATTGTTTACATCTACACTCAAACCTCATTATAACAAGTTCACATCTACCACGAAAGTACTTCATTATATATGAAAATTTGTTATAAACAATTATTTATAACACTGTTTTTATGGCAAAGCTATTGGTTACTTGCTTTGGTATAACTGATCATTTATTATATTGCAGTTTGAGTGTACTGCTATCTACATTCGAGCAGAACTTTTAAGGCTCAGTTCTACGCTCTTTTACTACATAAGATCAGTTTCAATACCAAAGTAACTTCGCCCAGTGTTGCATCAGAACTGTCCAAGTGTGAGCCACAATGCTGAATATTTCTGATTGATATGTGGGATTTAACGTCCCAAAACCACCATATGATTATGAGAGACGCCGTTGAGGGGGGCTCCAAAAATTTCGACCATCTGGGGCTCTTTACCGTGCACCCAAATTTGAGCACAGGAGCCTACGGCATTTTCGCCTCCATTGAAAATGCAGCCGCTGCAGCCGGGATTCGATCTTGGTACCTGTGGGTCAGCAGCCGAGTACCTTAGCCACTTGACCATCGCAGTGGGGCTGCAGAATATTTCTGACCTACCATTACACCAAGAGATAATGCCATAGCCATGAAGCCACCACGGTATGCAATGCCTTATGCTTATGCCTTTGGAATGGCGAACAGTGGACATAGATCATAGGCTTTCATTTCATGGAGAACTTGAAAATGACCAAGAAAGGAAACAATTTTTGAATTGTGATGTGTGTAAGGGTCACGTTAAAGGACCCTTGACCCTAACAGTAAAATTCTTGTTTCGGACTTTTTTCTGTAATTGGTAACCTTGTGTTGGGTAATGCCAAAATAGATTCGTAAATGCTCTAACATGTTGTGTAATTATCGCTAGCATTGTTAATTGTGGCCCACTTCAGCATCCCTTCAAAAAGCCCACCTAAACTCATACGAAACTAGTCCCACACAGCACGGGAATGCCTAAGACCAAGTGTTCTCCTGTTTGTCAAGCAGCATGACAATTTCATTGCAATGAATCCATCAGAATTCTTTTAGCAAAATGATCACCAGATTTTCTCACCAGACACCTTACACTGAAGCCTAGTGAGAGGCTTAGCATACATATCTACGAAAACGCACTGCACTCCCTTGTGTAACACATATTTACATAATCCCCTTTACCAGCTTAAAATGCCATTAACTGAATTACCACTTGAGCTTGGTGAGAAAACACGTTCTGCACATAAAGCGACGATGCTGTGAACATTTCAGCAAACTTATACAAGGTTATACAAGACATATAGAGTTGACCAATGGCACATAATGATGGCTTCTCCAATTTCATATAACAGAGTTCATTCTAGTCAGTTTCAAAAGTCAGCTTGCTCATAGCTGACATCATGAGACAGCTGCCCACAGCTGTCTCATGGCCTATAGAGTTAACCAACGGCACATATTGATGGCTTCTCCACTTTTGTATAACAGAGTACATCCTACTTAGTTTTAAAACTGTCAGCTTGCTCATAGCTGACATCATGAGACAGCTGCCCACAGCTATCTCATGGCCTATAGAGTTAACCAACAGCACATAACAATGGCTTCTCCATTTTCATATAACTGAGTTCATCCTACTCAGTTTCAAAACTGTCAGCTTGCTCATAGCTGACATCATGAGATAGCTGTGGGCAGCTGTCTCATGGCCTATGGGAGACCAGCACTGGATAGATGGCACACCGAAAAAGAGCACCTGGTGGAGAGTGGCGACACAACCCAACTGCTCACGCCCAGATGACAGGCGGCAGTGCGAGGTGTTAAAGCACACTCGTGCGCCGCTGCCGTGCTTAATTTTGAAACGAACAGCTCGAAAAGCCATTGCGCCTGTAATACTGCACTACGGTTTAGAAAAATAACTTTGTCCGAATGCTACTCTCACATAAAAAGCACTAAAAATGAAGAGAAGCCCTACATCGTGGACTGCGTCTATGCATATAGTATAGAAGGGACAGTGCTGTGCCGTGACGGCAGCTCCCTTGTCCTCGTTTTCCGGTCGCGTGCTTGGTTTTGGGCTAATGCTAGTGCTGGCTGACACGCCCCCATTGATAAGTTCGGGCTGGGACAATACCACGCTGCCAACATCTGCAGTAAAACAAAACAAAAAGAAAAGCAGAGTAAGAGGTAGCTGCGTCAAACTTTTCTTCTGGCATCGTTTGTACATCCTATTTGCAGTATTTATACACAAGGACGTTGATCGAGCAAACCGCCGTGGCAGCATAGCACATGTGGTGTCATTCTGCTATTCCTGAGGACGTGGGATAGATTATCGACTACGGTGGCCTCACTTTGATGTGGGTGAAATATAAAAAAAAAAAACACCCGTGAACCAAGATACGTGTGTGCATTGGAGAACCGAAAGAATTCACTATCTTGATACGCACACTACAGCATACCACAAAATTATATCTTCTTTGGCACATGAAAGCCTAGCAATTATCGATGTTGAGCAGACACCGTC